AGTTTTTCTAAACGACATTTCGATAGATTAAGAGCCGATAGGTTTCTAATGTCTTTAAAGTCCTCGCCGTGTATTTCGCGCAAAGGGTTTCCACTGAGATCTAGTACTTCCAGTCTCTCGAGTTTGTAGAAGAGTCGCGGAACCAGTTTTGTGAACCGATTGCGAGCCAATGAAAGTGATGTCAAGTTTGTCAGGTGACGGAAGGCCGCCGATGGAGCCCTCGACAAGTGGTTGTCACTCAGGTCTAGAGTTGTCAGACCGTCCAACCGATTGAAATCACTGTCCCTCACGATTGTGATGCTGTTGTGACTTAGATTTAAGAGTCTGAGAGCTGTTCCCGGCCAGAAGGACGAGTCGCCAATGGCCGGGAGGTTGCTGTACGTGATGTGCACCTCTTCCAACTGATGTAAGTCCAAGAATATTCTTCCCAGAGTTATGTGATTCACATTGCTTTGAGGGGCTGTTATGTTGAGGACCTGTCAAAAGCAAACCCATAATTACATAAGACTTAATTGAATGGAAAGTCAGTGAATCGCGATTTCAATGCTCAACAAGTCTTATAAATGATGAGTTACTTGAATTGATTTATCCATTTTGTCCACCGGAATGGCTGTGAGATTACCCACAGAGCACGTGACTTGTTTCCGGTTTAGGTCATCGGCAGTGCATTCACAGGGAGGTGAGGGACACCTCCCCGGCAGTGATGCTGAGAACACTGGTGTCCGGCGGCCCTCACATATGTGTGAACACAATACCTCCGCCAATAGTAACCGCATTAGTAATGAGATAACACTTCCCTTTACCATCTCTTCCGGTCAGTTGTATTAGGCTTTACTTCTTAAGACATTTCCTTTCAGTTAGACTATAATTAAGAACATTTGATACAATATTAAGATTATATTGCTTTTGCCATTAATTTTCTCTTATGTTAAAAATTATATTGTTAAACTGTATTAAATAAAAAATTATAAGTTGCTAATTAACTTTTAAGATATGTTGTTTATATTTTTTGGTAAAATTATTTATAAAAGTATATCCATGTTAAACTAAAATGCTAAATATTCTTTTTTATTTAAATTTCAAATTGTACTAGGTTTCACTGTATTTGAGAAATAGTCAATATTTAAATAATGTATAATTTTTAACTAAAGGGATTTTCTCATTTTAATTAATTCAGTATTGCTCTAGTTTTATGAATACTAGTCCACTCAAATATTAAATTTATAAATATTTAAAATGTGAAAACAATATTGTGCTATAAGTTCTATTCATTAAGTTTGAAAACTAATTAAACAACATAGATTATGTTATTTAATTTAAAACACATTTTAAATCCATTTGAATAGCAGAATAAACTGTAGAGTAAGTGCTTTATGTGAATGATTCATATCTTTTCAGTTTATAGTTTTTAATACTGAAATAACTTATGTATGAATTTGAATAGGATCTAAAATTTTGAATACAGGACTTTTGAATTAAGACTCATTGAACCAAAAACTTTGTAATATTAATATTAACTAATATAATACAAGTGCACTCGAAATGGTTTTCAAAATTGTGATTGAGATTTATATTCATACTATATTTACATTTTATTTGTGTTTGTATTCTTGTGTTATAAACATTCAGAAAATTATTGGGTTTCGTGTTAAATATCAAACTTTTTGGTGTATTTATGAATGAATGGAGACTCCACTCTATATTCAGCGCACATTTTCACTCTTTTCACTCTTAACGACACATTTATTTAGTTTT